ATCTGGACGAGTCCATTATGGTCTACAGTGGTGAAAGGGTTAAACAAATACAGATTAAAACAAATCAAGGTACATTACATTATAAAATTTTATCACATTTTTCCACATGTATACACTTGGTACATAAAAGAAGGCTCTTCTAATTATTTTAAGTAGCCCTCATGTACTCTCTGCAACACTTTTATCTATCATATACAATTAGAGGTCCACAGACCTTAGTGTCTTCTATTATTAGCACCATCTACCAATTATTAAGTCAACTCAAAGCTCCCCAAGGCATCAGGACCCTACACTTTGAATCTCTGGCATGCTTGAATAACTTGATTGTTCCTTGATCTGAAGAAGTTCTTATTTTTTGAAAATTTTAACTTTGACCCCTGTAGGATCAAGACCCCCCCCCCATCCCACACACACATAATTTGATACCCCCATTCCCTTTATGATGATTACTGCAAAGCTTGGATGAATTCCATCAATACGTTTATTGACAAAAGGTATATATAGTAGGAAAAGTGGAAAGTTTACCGACACAACACACGAAGGAGAACAACAGACAAAAACAAATCAGAATTAGTTACTTGTGCCATTAGCCTGTTACCTGAGAGTACAACATGTGTATCACTCTGTTGTTTAAACCAACGAGTCCCAGATGTCTCTGTTTACTAACCATCAGCTGGTGTGTCATCATCGGTTAAACACTCCTTGACAACTTCAACTTCAGTTATACCCAAATCTTTGCCTGTGGGTCCAGTGGTACAAGATGCTGATGATGAGCTTGAGGCAGCTGCATCAATCTCAGGATTCTTGGTACTAGATTCCCCAACATAAGACAAAGATTGTTCATCTACACATCCTGCTAAAGTTTCTTTCTCTAAAAATTTTTGCACTTTGGCTATTTCATCAGTCCCCGATGTGGATGGAGATGGAGTGCTTGGCTCTGAAAATGAAGGAAGTCATTTTACATTAGTTAGCTGGACATCATTTCAATTTGAACATGAATTTTCATTTAACTAAAACTTGCAAATTAAACCTAGCATAAAATCTTTTTTTGTCATTATTTAAAAGGAAATATTTCAGGACTAAAGTTTGCCTTGGTCTAGGGACAGAACCCATAACCTTCCTCGCTTAGGTGAATGCTCAATACCATTGGTCACCTCTTAAGATCATGCAGTGAGTAAAAGTAGGTATACTTTTTCTCAATTCCCTATCAGCAGGAGTGCTAAATTATATAATTTATGACTTCTTTACTGGTATAAGAATGTTTAAAACAAAGATAATATAATCTCCATCATTTTCAAATCATTTCAGTTCTAATATACCACTATATTTTGAATGTTCTGATATGTTTATGAAAAGATCCCAATTGTTACTACAGTTGTGTATATTATACCAACTTGCATAAGCTGCCCAGATTCCCCTTGGTTTTGGTGGTTGTAAGGACTTTTCAATCTCTTCCTGAATTTCGGATACTTCAAATGTCAGTTCATTCAACTTGTTCTTTTCTTCCAGCTAGAAAGTAAATGCATACAAAATCACTAACTAGTCTTTTAAAATAATTAATGTTACTAATTTTTTTATCATCAACCAGAATGCCATCAAATTTGCACATGCTGAATTTACGTTTATAAGATTTTTAGGTAGTAATACTTGATCAGAAATTGTAAGGCTATATTGCAGATTCAATTTACCCTGTGTGTAATTTTCAATGCATCATTAAAATATATTCAAGTACCTGTGCATTGAGTTTAGCTTGTTGTGCTCGCTTCTTGCCTTCTGTGAAGGATGGGGGATCATGTTCAGCTTCCAGGTCGATGTTCTGGAACTCTTCAATAGTTAACTGACTAGAGGGGGTGTCTTGGAACTCGGCAAGTCTGTAGAAACAAGCCAGTTTATGTCGTAACTATGTTAGCCATCATTAAATGTAAGAGAAAAAAAAATAAGCAGTGACATACATGTAATACACTATATCAAGCGAAAGTTACTGAAAGGGTAAAAATATTGAAAAATTGCGTTTTTCAAATCAGACACCAGGTAAGTTATCATTCAAATCTTTTCTTGAGTTAATAACTTTCCTTTATTAGTCTTGATTTGAAGAATTTCTTACAATTAAAAACTGCAACAAGTCATAAATGTGTTATATTGGGGCCATCAATCTTTACTGCTTATATAGTTTCCATTAATGTCTTGTTTTTTGTCGGGTATACACTGTACCAGGAAATGTGACAAGATACATTGTAACAAAACATTAAGACAACAACAGTAAAGTTAAACCATCCAGTTCATGAGAGTAAACGGTAAAAAAGTCAAAGAAGGAAACAGTTAACTGTCAAAATCTCACCTTTTCCTGATTGTTGTGTCACACACTTTCACAACCTTAATGATATCTTTGACACTTCTGTTAAAGTTGGACATTCTTGCTGCCACTAGTAAAGCTGGGGAACACATCAATAAAGACATCATGTATATTAGGATATGGCGTTACCTTGACAGGCACAACAAAAACAAAAACGGTACTGCAGAAATTTTACACACCCAAAAAGCATTCAAATAGTTTAACATTGAGATAATATTTTTTAAATGTATTAAAGAAATACATCTCTGAAGTTCGGTAATTATTATCAAGTACCTGCACCACAAAGTCCCGAAGGTCGGCGACCTGTATGCATCCAGTCTCTTTTCATCCGCTGGACAAGTCGTAGAGCTATCATAGAGACATCGTGGGTCTTATCCTCAAACTCTAATTTGTGTGCAAATCTCTGTATGTACAGGCAAGGATCTGGCAAGTAAAGCATTGTATGATTAGTTACACCAGAAGTAGACAGGACATTTGATAGTTTCATTCAAAACACAATAATACACCACACAGAGCATTACAATATATATGTATCATATGACATAAGCCAAAACAAACACTAAGAGATCATGTGACCTTGACAGTTCACATCTGATATTATCAAAATGTATATACAGAGCTAGTAGTGTGTCAACTTGTAAGGTTGGATTCCCACATACAGCAGCAGATTAATGTACTTGTGTCATTGAGAAAGACATTTAACCTTTGTTATTCCACTCCACCTGCTTGCAGTTTCTGTGCTGCAGTAAGCTGATAAAACCTGACACATACAATTAAGCAGAATTGAATATCTACACCTGTATAACCCCTTGCCCACACAGCCATACCCTCACATGTAGAGGCACAAAGGGGGGCCAAGATGAACATGAGTAGGTAAGGTTCATCACAAGTTTTCCTAACTGATTTTCTAAAAAGGGATTTTGAAGATAATTTGACAAAAATAAACAAGTGGACACATTCAGTACCATGCCAGAGGGCATACAGGTTTCCACCTAACATTTTGATTACCTTTACCTTGATGATGTTTTAGAAAGTTATAAATATAATGCATGTACAAATGACATTGAACAGCTTAATATGAATATAAAAGTCATGTTTTTGAAAAAAACATCAGACAGGCAGATTTAGTGAAGCTTTATTTTTCTTAAATGCAGTTAATCAAGGAACTGTTGATACAACTCTCCACATTACAAATTTTCATGGTAAAATAGCCAAGGTATGCTGTCGAAACCTGAGATACAAAAAATTCAGTAATTAAGGTCAAGGTCATAAGTCAAATTGAGGTCACTGACAACATTTTGGGATGCGACACACTGCCTTTCCATAATGTACATATAACAAAGGTTGCCTATTCATAAAACAGTGGCTGAGTTATACTCAAGAAACAATTTTTGAGTACTTGAGGTCAAGGTCAAAGGTAAAATTTAGGTCAATGTGACCTTGTTTTTAAATGTGACACACGGCCTCAAATTTTAATGATATACAAAGTTGGATGCCAATTCATATTAAGCAGTGGCTGAGATTTGCTCTGAAAGTCGTTATTTGAGTACTTGAGGTCAAGGTCACAGGTAAAATTTAGGTCAATGTAACCATTTTCTAGGATGTGACATATTACTGCTAGCTCCCAATGATGTACTTACATACAAAGTAAAGTGATGCCCATTCATGAAAAACAGCAGCTGAGAACTGTTCTAGAAGCAATTATTGGAGTAGTTTAGGTCAAGGTCAATCTGACCTTGTTCTATAATGTGACATGCGACCTTCTCATGATGTACCTATATACAAAGTTTGATG